AGTACCTGGGTTCTCGGTCGAACCTTGAACGGTGCCGCCTGGAGTCAGAATGTCTGCCCTCTCTACGAGACATTGCGTCTTTGGAACTTTGGAAGAGCGGATTAGGGCTGCTTCGCTTTCAGTTGGATGGTAGTAGATACACAGGATACGTCGGGATATGTTCTGATAGAATGCCAACCTCCTTTTAATCCTACAACTTAAATTTCCCTGTTTCATCTTCACCGTTCGATTAGCATATTTTGGGCTACGATAATAAGGTGTAGCACCTAGACACAGTGACTGAACGATGGATTCATGTGGTTTTTTTTTTTTATACATATATAAAAATAGAAACATTGTTTTTTTTTTTGTGTTTTTTTATGCAGAAGACATGGAATTTATAAAATTATTACTTTTACCTGCGTTTAGATGGAGTGAAAACAAAAGAGAGTAAGGTGAGAATGAGAAATGGACTAGGAGAGAAATGAAATAGTCATTTTATGAAAATAAAATAAATATATTATATAATTTGCATCATGAAATAAAATTATTATTATGACATGATTTCAATATTTAGTTAATAAGAATAATTTTTATCTTTTAGATTTTTTAAACTCATTATCTTTTAACAATATGTTATTATTAAATAATAATTTATTTTTATTATTTAAATATTAAGATTCAGTATTAAAATATTATTTATTTTTTAACTTAATTTCTTTTTTTATTTTCATTTTCATTTTTAATCTTTCAATCTATTGTTCCATTATTAAAATATTAATAATTTAATAAGTTTTACTGATTAATATTTCACTAAATAAATTATTCATAGTTTATTACAATATTACTTAAGGTTAGTAATTTATTATTAATAATTTAATTATTTATGTTACCTAAGCTTGCTTAGTGATTGCTTAAAATGAATAGGGATATTTTTGTTTGAAAAATATTTGAATTAGAAGCCGAATAGTTAATTATTCCATGTCTTTTAAAAATATCATTCTTAAGAATGGTTATTCTTTAATTCAAAATAAACCAAACAAAATAATTAGGTGAGATCTAAGCATAAAGAAATAATAACTTAGCTAATCCCAAACCAAAGGTGCCCTTAATTTCATTTCTTTCACATGAAATTTCCTAAAATGTCATTTTATATTTTGATATGAGTAGTACATAAGATATGAGACATGCTTACCACCATCCCTAATCATGTACTAATATATATATATATATATATATATATATGTGTGTGTATATATATATACATACACACTTTGTGCAGAAGACATCATATTTATTGATTAATTTGTTTAAATCAAGGTGGATTCTTTAGTACTAACTTTGTTGTGCAGAATTTTGATTTAAAACCAAAAAAAGGAGACAGGGTTATGCTGCATGACGAGGTTTCAAGTCAAACGTACAAGTCAAGCAACAATTATGACCAGGAAATTTCTTACCAATTGCCATGCATGAAAAAAGTAGACCAATAAATTTCACAGTTCACGAGTCGACCAATTGGTAAAGGCACCAGATCATAAAGAATGGTAGTGCAGAAGGGTTTTCTCTTCTGCAAGCTGACAGAATGGGGAAAGCTCGTTTTGGGTTATCTGTTACTCTATTCCTGGGGAAATTCGGGAGTTTTCAAGCGGTCGGCAAATCAACAACTTAGGATCAAGTCTTAGTTTTCACTCTATTTCTAGATATTTGTATATCCTTTACGAGACTTGTGTAAACATGGGCAAGAGCCACCAGAGAAAAAAGAAGAGAAAGAACACCAGTAAAAGACAAAAGCAAGAACCAGGACCAAGACCTTTCTCTGACTTTGGGAAGGTTGCCAATGGTTTGTTTCATCTTTATATTTTCTTGGCATGCTCTTGTTTGCAAATCTTGTGTTTCGGTTCTCTGCTTCTACCCTGCAGTTTTCAAGGTCTTTTATTTAACCAGTCCTTTTGTTTTCAGAAAGAGTTTCTTCATGTAGCATTCCATAAATATGTATTGAGTATTACCTGTAACCCACATATGTACAGTTCTGAGTTCCTCCTGCAAACTGGTTAACAAGGGAAGATTGATTATCTTTTTTCGATTCTATGTTCTCACCAAACGGCAAACTCCTGCTGACTGTTGGTAGACAGCTTTTCTTCTGTTTGAATCTTTCCTGCAAATCCTGAATCACTCTTGCTATCATTGAATTTCTAGGTTTGCTTACAAAGGGCTACAGCCAGGATCAGAGACTTAGCATTTCGACCCGGAGTTGTAATGGAGTGGTATATTGTGAACTTCTCTGTGTTTGATATTTCAATTGCATAAGTTGTGTTGATTATAGACGGTTCCTTGTAAAATCATTGAGACTGTTTCCAGATTTTAAGTTCAACTGCTGCGAAACACGGTAGACGTTCAAGTCCAACTACACAAATTGCAGCAAGCTATAAATATGGAAACGCTTCAATTGATGTAAACATTGATGCAAAACCAAGTGTGCGTTTGTCTTACTTTGCCGCTTCTCCTGAATTTCAGATTTTGTGTACTGATCAATTCTAAGCATCTGGTTTTTACTTGTGTAATGACAGTTTTCGACAACACTCACTCTTGGTGGAAAGGTTTTACCATCCACATATACCAAAGCTTCATTAAAATTTCCTGATTACAACTTTAGCAAGGTAAGGCTCACATAATTGTGATTACCATCACCAAATAGTTCAGGTCATTCGATAAGACTTTAACTGCAAAATTGTGTTCTTTTCAATTTTGTTTCAGCTCAATCTCAAATTCCAGCATTTCTTCAGAAATGCTGCTTTATACATCTCTGTTGGCCTGAACCAATCCCCTGTAGTAATGCTTTCAGCAAGTATTGGCACTGCAAGCATTGCATTTGGCATGGAAGCAAAGTACAAGCATGCTTCTCACAGTTTTACCCAGTGTGATGCAGGCATTTCAGTTACTCAGCCAAGTTGTGATGCTTCAATAATTCTGTATGTTATACTAGCAATTGTAAATAACACGAACAAATCCACCTTCTTAGTTATCATTATGTCACAACTCACAAGGGTTAGGAATAAATTCCTGTAATTACCTTCTTGCACTTTTTTTCCAATATCAGAGTTAATACTCCCATTGCGATTCTGATCAGGTTAACAACTGATAATACATGATTCTAATTAAAGCTAATAATAATATAAGTAAAATACCTTTTACGGACATAACATTGATAAAAGTTGCATTACTGTTATTGTGGAAACTTCAGTACTTGATCTTTAATTTGTAATTTTCAGGGCTGAAAGAGGTGACCTTCTAAGGCTGGCGTATGTGCATCATTTTGGCCACTCAAGGAAAATTTCTGCAGTGGCAGAGGTCACTAGGAGGCTGTCCAAAAACAAAAACACCTTTGCAGTTGGAGGATCATGCATTGTGGATCATCTAACAGCAGTAAAGGCAAAACTTAACAATCAGGGAAAGCTGCAAGCCCTACTGCACCATATGATCAGTCCCAACTCATGGTTAACTCTTTCTGGTGAATTTGACACCAAAGCTCTTGACAAGAGACCCAGAATAGGATTGGCACTTGCTCTCAGGCTTTAATTGCTCTCTCAACAGCAACAGTATGATGCAGCGAAAAAAATGCAACACATGGTTCTTTCCAATATATCTGCAATGAATGATTATTACTAAGTAGAGAGGAGACATGACTATCCTTCTCTGAAAGAGAAAAACCTTGATGAGCATCTGCTTTTGAATCAGTAAAAGATTACCGCTCAAAATTTCATAGATCAGTTAACTGAACCTTATTCACATGAAGGTGTATTGCACCATGATCACAATAATGCGCATAATACAGCCTATTGTGAAACTACGTCAATCAAATTAATTGAGACTTAAAACTGAGCACAATTTCTCAAGATCACAATTATGGATGCTGGTTCAGGTATTTCAATGGAAGGATTATAAAGAATACTTTCAAAGTGGACAAAACATTTTCTTCTTTTTTCAAAGCATTGTGGAGATTGGAGAAGACAGGTCTTACTAGTCATAAAGCTTAGCAATCGTTCTATGCCGTCAAAAATGATCAATTACTATAACTGCCGTACCAGCTATGGTTTTGCTGTCGTCAAATACCTTGGAAGCTAGTCTAATCGGCTTGAGCATTGCAACTGCTGGTAGAAGAACTCTTTGAGGCCGTGTCTTTAGAGTCTTCCCTAATCCGATTTAATCTGCTGACTTTAACTCCTCTTAGGTCTTAGCACAAGACCTGAACTGAGAAGAAACACTAGTTTGCCAAGCAAACATCTCCTCCAGACGGTGAGAATAAAATGAAACCACAAATTCATACCAGTGCTGATAATAATCGAGGCATTAATTAACAAAATTTTCAGTTCTTCAGACATCAGATTATGACAGAATCAGTTCATAGACTTGAACCTGCTGCACCATTTTAATAGAAGCTCCTCTATACTGGCATCCATTCGGGTTCCAATTCCTCCCCAGATTAGCATGTGAGCCATATCCCCAATTGTTGAACCATTCACTTCATGCACAACCTTGAACCCAATCCTTTTGTAGAACCTAACGAGCTGAAAGTTCAAAAGAACATCAAAATACAGAATTGTCCACTATTCAGCCAAAAGAAGGTATTGTTGTATGAAAATATCTCATTAGCAGAAACCAGAGAAATTCAGTTAGGCGAGAACCTTGGAATGGTAAAGATCCGAGTCATTGATGGCAAGCAACTCAGCAGTCTTACAACCGCAGTCATATCCGTATCGAATAGCTACAGCTCCAATGAACAAACCGATACCAAAAATTGATCTTTCCATGCCCATCGTCTCTCTCTTGAGTTTGATGGAATCCAGGTGCAGAATTCTACCTCCAAACCAGACCCTTATCAGCCCCTCACATCTTCCAAGTTCGCTGTTTGTATCCAGGCTTTTGGCAGTGATCCTGAACAAGGGTCCTAAAGTTTGAAGCCGAAGGTCAAGTTTCTGGGCTCTAGAGGAGGCCAATATGTCAGACATGGATGGTATAGCGGTAGTGTCTTCTTTGATGTCAATGGTTGTAGTTTTATCATATGGTTTGGTGCCATTTTGGAGGGAATTCAAATGGGTTTTTGGTTTAATTTGGTTAGAGGATGATTGGAGTGGTGAAACTGAGAGCTGAGATACCGGAACAGTTTGGGTTCTACTAGGAATTCTTGGATATGGATAGCAGATTCTGGAAACAGCAACCTTGTGTGTTAGTTCCATACGTACTGTGGTCTCGTGGCAGAGAACTGCAACAGAAGAGTGTTTCAGTTAGATGACTGATGTGTCAAATTCTTTCCCCCTTTTCCCCTCCCTTCAAGGATGAAAGATGAGCAAACTCCTGCTGAGAGTGAGAGGATTCTTTCTGTTTCTTTAATTAAGGATTTCGAACGTTAAAAGGACAAAAAAATCTCGTGGTTCGAGGATGTCTACTGGCTGTGAAACGTGGCAGACGTACGATCAGCATTTCGGATTCCTATCGGTTCCATTTCATTTTTTTTGTCTGCTCTATAAGGAGGTAAGACAAAATAAATCAGACAGGCTTAGGGCATGACGGATCAACGATGGGAAATGGGGGATAATAAAGCACAATTTTAGATGGGAATGGAAAAATGAATGACTTAGTTACTCTGTAGTCCCTACCCATGTTTGGTTTATAAGTAATATTTAAAAAGAATAGGCAGTCCGAAGCTTATAAAGCATGAAATGGCCAAAAAGGACTACTGAATTAGAATAAAAGTTATTATTGCATTTATTATTATTATTACTATTATTTCATATTGGAAGAAAATATTTCAATTTATACAATTTCTCACTGCACTATAAATACACAAAACTACTGTGAGATCAACAAACTATACAGAACTATACATACAGGACTGGCATAATACTAAAAATTCTGATTGCTCTTAACAAAGAATGAATCAATTGGCAGATGCCTGCCGTGTGTTGGAGATGATTTATGCTTCTTACGCCTTCTTTGGTTCACAACGTGATCCTGTGGAACAATCCTGACAATATTACAAAAATTTGTCAGATGAAGAGGGCTGCAGCCCAAGAATTTAGTCACATACTGCACAATATAGCTGGCTGATTTAAATCATCAAGTAGGAGTTACAGGCTATACTAATTTAAAACTTGTAATACCTTTGCCTTGGCATCATCGCTCTTGAGTCTGCACCAGATTCCTCCTTCTGAAGCCTCTCAGCAAGATGAAAATCAGAGTGCTCTTGTCTTTCTTCGACAAAACTTGAGGGTAATTCAGCTCCACACAATGAACACTTGTAGTCATCCACCCAATATAGCTGTTCTGTATTATTGGATGAAAAAAATTCCTCATTTCCGGAGGTACTAGCTTCTTTGTTTAATCTGTCAGGGTTGCTGTCCTCAGGCTCCTTCTGTACGGAAGAATCTTCCTCTGACACCCGTGAAACTTCTTTAGAAGATTTTAGGGTATGCACTACCCCATTAGCAGTCTTCACCTAGGGAAATGAATAAATACATAATAACAATAAAGAATTTAGAAAGTAGCCTGACAAAACAAAAAAGCATTACAAAGGTAAAACAAAAGGAAAGCTCAAAAAAGTATTGAGAATGAACATTTGAAGATTTCTAGACTCAGTTAAACAATCAGTATATAAACTTTTAACAAGTACCATTGGCTCAGTTTTGTTGCTTGAAAGTTCGTGAATTTGTTCCATTTCCCAAGCATTTTCACTGGAAATGCAATTGTTGTCATCTACATCTTGTAATGGATTGCTCTCAAATGGATCTCCAAACTCATAATGACATGTCTCATGGTTGCCAACAGAAAAGACAGTTTCCCTTTCATTCCTAAAGTGGAGATCACTTAAATCTGAACCAAAGGAGCTTTGATCATCCACAAGTTTTGTAGAAGCATCTCCTGATATTAAAAATGTGGTGAGAGTTTTTTGTGTAGGATCGACGGGAACACCCACCTTATCTTCATTGAAATGAGACACTCGCAGGCCTAACGGCAAAAAACACAAACACATTGTTATCTTCTAAAGCCCACAATGCGCAGACTGTGTAGACTTGTTCTACCCATATTTTATTTCCTTCTCCATAACCATCAAATAAGAAAAGATAGGCAAACATATTAAAGTCTACCTATGAGTCTCAAAGAAATAGGAAGTTCAGCCTTCAACAGCCTTGAAGCATATTTTAAGATGTCATCACTTGAGCAAATATATTTCTGTAAAGTGACAGCCCTTGTACGAACCTGAAAATTGTAGTTCAGATCAGATATGAGCACACAAAGGGAAGGCATAAAAGAGATGGGCAATATAAATCAAATAATTGATAAGAAGTCATAGAGTTTAACAAATGCAATTGCAATTAATCAATGAGATAAAAGGGAACAAAGCTGTATGACAGACCTGTAACCACATCTGGCCTTTATAAGAAACATAACCAACGATTCCTTTACATTTTGCCACTTGCTATTGAGCATACCAAAAGAAGGAGAAAAAAATGCAATATAACATCATCAATATACCTCAAAAGATGCAGTTTTAAGTTTAAGAGTCAATGTCCGTCCAGAAAGGCCCTCTTTTTGCATGTCAGCTGACAGCATCTCTGCAATATCAGCTGCAAATACAAAAAAACCTAAACTAAATTGCTGCAATAAATGATTAGTCAATTACCAAGACAATTCCATAACTAAATATCATCTAAATTGCCTTCATATATATATATATATATATATATATTTGATATAAGTGCAGACTCAAGTTTAGTCCAACAAAAAGGTGTCTAGAGTAAGGGTGCAATTATAAGGAGTTCAACTGAATTGAATTTGACCATTAATCAAGCTTATAGACTTGGCTAAACATCCCAACACAAACGGAGTCCAGTGAGGTGAATACTAATTATCCATCTTACCAATCTAATTGAAATGCCGCTGCATAATCGTTGATACTAATGTCCTCAATAAACTATTAATTTAATTCCTTGAAGCTATAAAATTTTAAACCAGTTTCACCTTTAAGAAAGTACTAAATATATGAGCATGAAATGTCAAAACAGAAAAAAAACTACCAATCTCTGCATTCAGAGGAGACAAAAAGTTGAGACCATTTACCTAATTTCTGATAAAGCAATGCAGCATCCTCTGTAGCTGAAAATGTTCTCTCACTGCTGATACTTTTCCGAAACCTGGCTTCAGGTGTATCCGTCCCTCCAAGCCCCAATCCAACAGAGAGGAAAAAATCTAATATCATTTGGAAATAGGGTCAGAAGCCCATGATCCCCATGCTATCTATATGCATGAAATAAATTCATGAAACTCAAAAGAAATACAATAACTTTGATGGTCACTTTACCCTCATCGTTGTTGATTATTTAAAATTAATTAAAGAACTTAGAAACGTTGTGCTCACTTATACTTGGAAAGTCATTCCAATGCTTAAAATTGTTGTTGTTTTGCTTATATAGTTTTAGAAGAATTTTAACAGAATTGATTCTCCCTTACCACCTTTTCTTTTCTGGTTCATACAATCACTTCAAATTTAGTATCTATAAGCAAAGGCAATGTAACACATTCTATGACCGGCTAATGATTCAGAAAGCTCTAAGTAAAAGGAAACCTCAACTGACTTCACTAAGTTTTTGTTAAGGAAGTTGATGCAGCAGACTGTAGACAGAAGAGAATGCAGGATGATTATCCCCAATATGTCTGTATCAGTTTCATAAAATTTCTGATGACAATTACTCAATCTTGAAAAATGGTAAAAACACTTTATCCATGTGCTAACCTGCTGAAGAATGAGAAAATAGCGCACAGAGGAAACTGCCTTTCCGCAGCATCTCTTCACACGTATTGATTCCAAGAACACCCCTTAAAATGTTTTCTGTGACCTTGCCTATGCCCCCAATCTGTAAATTCAGTTTTTCAGCATCCATTATTATCAGACAGAAACCTTTTATCCAGTTAAGAAATGGGAATCTTTAATTTTTGTTTTAAATTGAGGGAAAAGGAAATCATATTAAAGACTTCATGTACAAGTCAGAAATACTATTTCCTAAACAAGAGTTTAAGATTAGCTAATCTTGGATATACCTTTCGAATAGGAAGTGAGGATATAAATGCCATGACAGCCATGCGGTCATTTAATAAAACAAACTGTCCATTTGGCTTGTTAATATCTGAGCAAACCTGAGGGATAGAACAAAGTATCCAATATATTCAGAAGGCACAATCAGATATAAACAAAGGTGTAAACAACCAGCTATGATAATAACTTGAAATGTCCAGTTTGAATTCTTTCTTTTGTGATTTGTCTTGCAAGCATGAACTGTGACAGACATATTGAAGTTTTAAAACATTGTATTCCATTAGACTACATCTGAATAAACATAATCAAAACAACTCACTAGTCAACAACATATCAATTGTTAATCAACAAAATGACTCCCATATTCTCACGCCACATCACTAATGACCTCAACAATATGGAAAAATGCCTTCCCATTGGAGATTATAATACTTTTCTATGTAATATGCAGTACTCCAATTTGGTTTGACAATGCAATAATAGCAAATATCATTGTGATGAAAATTTGCAGATGCAAGCTGCCAACTGCAACTGTTTGCAGAGAACAGATAATAGAACCTTAGCAAGTAAGCGGTTTGGAGCCACTCCCGCACTACATGTCAGACCAGTCTCTTCATGTACTCTGGATCTGAGCTCTTCGGCAATCTAAATTGGCAGACAAAGGAAAGTGTCAGCTTAAAAGCCTATAACTGCAGCAGTCAAAATAACAAAATGATAGTGCAACTCACTTCTGCACCACTAATGGCTCTTTCTTTGCAGACCTCAGTAATATCAAGATAAGCTTCATCCAAACTCACAGCCATGAAATTAGGATCATAGTTCTGGAAAACTAACATAGAGGGACATGTGCAATGTAACAGATCAGCACAGCACAACCTCAAGTTGTATCAAGAACTCTGTTTTTAAAAGCAAAGCATTCAACCTTTTCTAGTTAAATTACTATAATGAGTATATTTCTTGAAATCTGTGGGAACAAATATCAATTCTGGACACAATTTACGTGCAATAAATCCAGGCATTGCAGCACGAACCCCAAATTTCCGTGCCTACAAATTGAACATCATTTACTGCAAGTAAATTTCAAGCAACAAATCACTATAAACAATTTAACCATGTAAATCCATTCAAACCTCATAATTAGCAGTGGAAATCATAGACATGCCGCCAACAGCCATCGGTTTACCCTTTAACGAAGGATTACTCAAAGTTTCAACAGCCGCATAAAAAGCATCCATATCTACATGAAGCCAAATCCTTGAAAGCTCACGCGTAGCTTCAAGTTCTAAAATTCTTTTATCCACAACCTAAGGAAAGGTGCAAATTATTTAATTACTTAAATATGATTGCAAATTATTTAATTACTTAAATATGATTTCAAAAATTGCAATATGTAAATAAAGCAGAATTTAAAAGAAAAATTGCTAAAGGGAACCTTTTGATAATGAGATAAATCAGCG